TTTTGGGAAAATTTTGAATTTAAATAAAGAAGTGAGGGCTTCAAGTTAAATTCATGTATTGCATGTAGAATTTAATTAAATTAGGCTAAGGAGAGTGCTCAACGTGGCTCTACCTCTCCTCCTGTGCTCAAGCTCGCCTGAGAGATCTGCAACTACTCTGTTTCATCAAGAAGTGCGTTCACCGCCATGGAATCAAAACTGATACCATAACCCAGGTATCCAACCATTAAAACTGAATGCCATCTGCTGTACAAACGCTTTTCCAAAACATAGCAGACTCCATTGCTCAAAATCACATTAAGACAATGGACAAACATGCAGAATCGATAGGGCTAGCTCTTCGATTTTGTGCAACTTAAGCTCCACCACGGTGCCATGTTCCGATTTCCATAGAATGGACAAACATGCAGAATCGATCGGGCTAGCTCTTCGATTTTGTGCAACTTAAGCTCCACCACGGTGCCATGTTCCGATTTCCATAGGCACCAAACAAGTTGTCCTTAACAACTCTAAACAAATCATGGTGAACAACTCTGCTTGAACCAATGCTGAGAAGACTAAACAAGAGAGGCTTCAAATTCTCCGTCAAAGTAACTTCAAAAATGGTACCATAAACTTCATGTCCGATCAACCATCGAACACAAAACCGCTCTCTTCCAGCTCGAACTAATCACGAGAGCCAAACAAATTCTCCGAGAACTGAGGCAAGTTCTCAACCAAATAAATCTGGACTGTGGATGCAATTAGGCTTTAACCAATTCTGAAATATCAGAACAAACTTCAGACAAACTAACAAAATACCAAGAGCCAAAAATTTTGAAGTGTTGAGCAAACTTCAGATTCTTCCAACTGCAATTCCAACTAGCAAACACAAGATGATACACCATCTTCACAGCTGCCAAAATTGCCAAAAGGCATATGTACCGTAGGTACATAACTCCAACAGTCCCTGCTGACTCCACTAGGTCAACACACGATCTATCTCCTTCAAATCCAATGACAGATTGAGGGATAGATCCCAAAACATGAGATTCAAAATCCCCATCTTAACGTTTCTCCTCAACAATCTCTTCTAATCTTCAACGAACACCAACGATCACACCGCTTCCATAGAAGCAAACACCCAGAGTCTGAATCGTCACCTAGACTACCAATAGCTAATGTCTTCAAATATGAGATAGATTGCAAAAAAGAAAGAATCCACAAACGGAAGCAATGATCAAGTCTCACAAACCAGAGACATCTCTGGATCTAATCAGACATGATCATAGATCCTAATTGTGATAGTGAATCTCAACAAACCATGACTCTGAAAAAGTCGCCAATAATCCGTGAAAGACTGCCAAAAACAATGTCTCCAGCAAACGTTGAAAAAAAAAAAAAAACAAAGCTCCATCAAGATCTGAAGTAGATTGCCACAATTTCTCTTCCAAATCAACAAATGCAGACACCAAGGCTACACCAGATGCGGATCTTCCAATAATGATCCATGAAGGATCTCCAATGCCTCCACAGAGGCCAATGCCAATAAAGTACTATTATTTGGACTTATCACACGTGCCAAATCTTCGTAGTACACTTTGCCAATGCCGGTTCTCTCTATTTCCTAAAGAAATCCCAATGAACTGTGAAGTTCTACAACTAGATCGAGAGTCTCCAAATGAACTGATAAAATTTGCAACTGACTCTGAAGGGTCATCACAAGGTTTTAAAAAGCGGCCGCAACCATTACGTAACGCTGTTACGTAACGGTTTTGGTGATTATCGCTACCCGTTACGGCCGCTTTTGCAGTGTGAACGAGATTCACAGGTGTGTCGGTCGTAGCGGCTACCGTAACGGTCGTAACGGTTCCAAACTGTTTCTTTCAAAAAAACACACAAAAAAAAGCTGAAAATGGGGAAAGCGCGGTGGAGAGAAGAGGGAAGATAAAGAGAGAAAATGGAGGAGCAAGAGACAGAGAGAGAGAAAAGGGAAGATGAAGAACATGTTATTGATTTGTTGAAACTGTAAGACCTATGCTATTCTATTCAGCTGCTATCACTAAACTATTTTGTTTGTGTGTGTCTATCTATATATTGTTTGAAAATAATAATAATAATAATAAGTGTGGTCATTATCTATTTGGCTTGGTAAAAATATGTATATATATATATATATATATATATTTAGGCTCTTATTTATTCTCTTACTTTTGTCATTGTTTATCTTATATATAATAGTTAGTGATTGGTTTTTTGTATAATATAAAGTCATTAATTATTAAAATAAAATGTAAAAAACTCAGTTTTATAGTGATTTAAAAATATGAAATATATTGGATCATACTTAAAAATTTACAAAAATTGATCAATATTTATTTTTAACCCAATAAATATGATCATGGAAAAAAATATGCGTATCGGTAAGTTTTTTTCAAATTGTGCGAAAAATAAAAAAATTCACGGTTCCGGTTACCGCAACCGTTACACTACGGCCTTTACACCCCACAACCGCAGCCGCGTCATCGCCACTGTTACGGCGATCGCAACCGCTTTTCAGAACCTTGGGTCATCAATTGGCTTCCAACTAGGTGAACAAAACTTATTACCCCCATCACCTACATGGGTGATAAAACGTCGTTGTACAAATACGCCTCCATTCTACCGAGCATCTGGAGTGTCATAGCTCTTCCTGCTTGGAATGACTTCAACTGCCACACATGTCCTGCATGGCCTGCACGTCTATTACCAAGTACTTGCATCCTTCAGTAGAATGTTTATTGTTTCCCTGTTGAGGTGCCTCCACTCAAACTCTATATGTGCCCGTCGTGACTTCATTGCCACGAACCAGATTCTAGACAAAGAAAGAGATTTGCCTCTCCATGGGTGCACATTGTTGGGTCTTATCTGCCTTAATTTCTCTGTCTAGAGCTTTCTTCTGTGAATTGGTTGCTATTGTCAAGCCAAAAATCCTACACACTGCACCTCTGTACGACTCTGCAGCATACTCTTGCACTGCTGTACGTATGCACCTTGTACGACATTCCGACGTACTCATCTGTGCTCTCATAGCCACGTGCTCCCGTGGCTTATGTTTACACTTTTGCAGCTGTTGCTCTTCCATATTCACATACCACTAGCACTATTCGTATTCTGTTTGCCAGCAGCTTCAACTACCACAACATTTCCCTGAGCCTGTACTGGTTGCCAATCATCTGATGAAGTGGACTTTCTCCGATTGAACTAGATCTCCCGATCGCCTAGACTCAACAACCAGAAAAGTTTCCAGGAAATACTGGTGAGGCCACAATTGGTCCCACTTAGACAGTGTCTTTTTGACAGAACTTTCCTAGAAATTGTTAATCCTGAGATAATCATGTGCAATTCTCTGATCGCCCCTTGACCAATCCCGATCTCCCTTGATTCGCCACTTGATTAAGCCTGATCTCCAATGATCCATTTTCCGATCTATCTAGTTATCCAATCCGGTCTGAATCTTGCCATTATGACCTTTTTAGTGAATCTGCAGTGTTCCACAATATCAAGCAACCTTCTTTAAATTATTAAAGATGACAAACTTAAACTTCTGGAAAACTTCAAAAATCTTTCAGAATTTCACCATTCTGATCTCGCGGTTGCGTCTAGAACAGTCCATTTAGCTAGGACCAACCTTTGCTGCACTTTCGGGGGACTCATTAAAAATATTCCCCAAAACTTGAGGCAAAATTATAATTTCTGGAAAAATATGGGCCCTCCTGCAATTTCCAAAAACTTCTAGAGAATATTCCGTTATCATCAAGAATATTCCATCCACTAGTATCATCCCCGAGAATATTCCATTATATCAGGAATATTCCATCTACTAACGTCATCGTTACGTTACGGCGACATCATCGCCCAAGGACCCCTTTTGGGGTGGTTCGGCCCGTCAATTGACCCATTGACGTCATCTGGGTCAGTCCCTTCTAGGTCGAATCTATTGGTATCATCTGGGACAGGTCCGATCTCTCCTGGGTCGAGTTGACCCACCCGCTGTGTCATTCTTCACCTTTAAAAAAAAAAATTTCAAGATGCTTTTGGAAGGATATGACCCCTCAACCTTGGGGTTAACTTGCACCTTATCTAGTCTGCCAACCAGAAGCTTGTTATTTATATTTTGCAAAGAAAATATATAATCAATAAAAATTGGGTATCTTCAACCTTAAGCTTCCACGCGCCGAACTGAACGTTTCAGCGAGTTTCTGACCATCTCCGGCCAAACTTCGGGATGTGCATGGTGGCACGTGGAACCTTCTTTTGGGATGGTTTTTCTGGGTCTAGACTCCTCTCGTCAAGACGCACCTCCTGGTATGCTCAAAACTTGATTTCGAGGGGCTGATTTCTAGGCCATTTCTGAAAACACATTGCTTTTCCTAAACTGGGCTTTGGTACCCCTTGTTGGGATCCAGGGATCCCTTCTAGGATGTCTAGAATAAACCACACACAAAGAACACAAACAAATTTAACATGGTTTGACCCAACGCTTACGTCCACGGGAGAGAAATCAATTTTCACTATATCAATGGAAAGAATACAGAAAGATTACAATGGAGGAGGAGATTCTCTCTCACTCAACTCAATACACAGCTCCCCCTCTCACACCGCTTCCTCTCTGCCACAAAGGGTCTCTTTGTTTCTCCCTCTCTCTCTCTCTCTCTCTCACTCTCTATACATGTTTGGTTCATTGATTTTCTCACCTTTAACTCTCTCCTTCCCTTTTCTATTTATACACCTCCAAGAGAAGTGTGAAAGCTTGGTTGGCAGCTACCTCTTCTTTCTGCTGTCTTGAAGCTTTCCATTCTAGCACATGGTAAGCCTCCATTCTTGACCTTCCTTTGGTGCTTTCACATGGAGGAATGGAGGAAGAAGGAAGAAAGAGGATCACCCTTTTCACATAGAGTGACCTCACAACAGAGGACCTTACAAGTCTACCTTAACTTCACAATCAATAATTATTGATGAAAAAGAAGACAAAATAGAAATTAATAATGTCATAATGACCACATTTCCATATCACATTGATTGATTACAAGATATCTGTGATCAGATAGGACTCATTTAAACTAATATAGTAGTGACACATTAGATGAGATGAGATGAGATGATAAACAACTTTTGATAGATAATGTGATCATCAATGTAAGCTGTTGTTGCAGGTGCACACTAGTGGGTCTAAGTCTACCATAATAATACTAATAATCATGCTATTATTTTTTTTTTGATTTTTTTTTTAATACAGAAGTCAAAAAGAAATTAAGGTGAAGGAAAACATTAGGGAGATAATTTAAGGCAGGGTATAGTAGTGTTATTAGCTTCAATATGCTTTGAAGAGTTGAAGCTGTGGTTTTCCAAGTCTTGTTTTTGTTCTTCTTCTTCTTGAGGGGAACTAATTGCATCATGATGTGTTGTTGGAGAAGGCCCAGAGGAGGAAAATGTGTTGTTGTAAGAAAACCATGTGGACCAGAAAAGATAGTTGAAGAAGTTGATGAGGCTGAGAAGAGCTAGCAACCAGTAGAAAAGGTCTAGCCTATCTTGATTGAGGTCATTGTGACTGAGCCATCCACCATGGCCAGAAGAGGTGCTTGAAGAGGTGATTTTGTTGACAAGTGAAACTAAGAGGGAGCTCAAATAGAAGCCAAAAGAGTAGGAGCAGTAAGTCATGGCTGTCAAAAAGGATTGCATTCCTCCTTCCAATGACTGCTTATAGAAGAACTCAATTAGGCCAACTGCAGTGAACATCTCTGATAGGCCAAAGATAAGAAACTGCGGCGCAATCCAAAAGATGGAGATGAGATTTGTTTTGTTGTTCGATGAATAATTCAAAGCAGACTTCCTTCTCTTGTTCTCTATAATTGCAGCTGAAACCATTGAAAATGTTGCAATGAAGAGACCTACTCCAACCCTTTGAAGAGGTGAAATTCCAGAGTCCCTTCGAGTGATTTTTCTTGCTATGGGTACGAAAGCGGTCTCATAAAGAGGGACTACAAATATGAGCATGATGTAAGGGATGGATTGAAGAGATGCTGGTGGGATTTGGATTTGGATTTGGAACTTGTTTGTGAGCCAACTGAGACTGAGCTGCGTGTTCATGGTGCTTCCTTGTTGAACAGAGAATGTTTGAAGTTGTGCTAAAATGGTGTTGAAAATTATGGTGCACCCAAATATGGGAATCACTGACATGATTATCTTCACTTGCTCCACTTGGCTCACCGTGCAAAGCCTCCATGGGCTTTCATCACTCCTCCCTCCTCCTCTTCCATCTTCACTTTTGATGCAGGCCTTGTCAAGGAACCTACAATTTTAATTAATTAATTAAATTGTAATGTGTAAATTAATAATCATGTGTTGTATATATAATCTATCTATCATCCTTGTGTATATGTATAACCATATATATACTGACAGTGAAGTGTCTAGAAAAAAAGGTCATTTTTATCTTTGTTGCATTAATGCATTATTAGATTTCATCATGCTATATATGTTTGAAACATTCAATTCAACCCACCCCACCTGAACTTTTTTGTGTGAAGCAGATTGATGAGGTTAGGTGAGGTATCAGAAACGCAACCACGATCTATGTTTTGGCTTCCATGAAGCATCTCTGGACTCGAGGGACAGATCTGCTTTCTCTTTGTAATTGCAGCTACAAAAACCTATAAGGAAGGGGAGGAAATAGAACAAATGAAAAATGAGACAAGTACCATTACAAAAAAAAGAAAAAAAGAAGAAGAAGAAGAAGCAGCTGACTTTATCAATGCTGTAATGTTTACAACTTCCCATTTTGATGGGATGAAGTACTAGAACTAAACTTTTCAAGGAATCATGAAACATCAGAAAACATAATTTTCTTTTATTAGAAGAAACTTTATTTCAATAATATTCCCCTGCCTAACTTTCTGTTTGCCCAAGATAGCCGGTATCAATTTCCTGAGTAGCTAAATCTTTTAATCCTACTCCCCAACGAAATTCAATAAAACATTTTTTGACCAAAAATAAAATGATAAATATCATCTGTAAGAAAAATCATCACAAAACCTTAGTGCGGTCATTATTAACACAGGTAAACAAAAATAAAAAATAAAAAACAGAAAAGGGAGTAGTAGTATATTAAAGTATGCTAAACTTGTAAAGGAAATTGAAAACAAGCAACTACAACTTTATGATTTTTCTTTTCTCTAAATAAATAAATAGGAAAGCTAGAGTAAGTAGTTAAAAGGTGATCACAACACTGCTTTCTTTGCACAAATAAACCTGCACAATAATAGGCCAGAGAAAGAAAAAGGCTACTACTTTTAATTAGTTTCTTAAAAAAATGAAAGAAAAAAATAAAAAAATAAAAAATCCAATATAAAAGTCTCTTGAAAGAAATTGAGAGATTACTTGGGCAATGGGTGTGAAGATACTTCCACGAGGTGGTTTATTCCTGTAAACAAGTGTACCAGAAATTAAGCTGATCAAGCCCATAGTCATGGCTGCTGCAGAGACTCCAAAGCCAACATCCATTCCAGAATGTGTTTGTACCCAAACAAGAAGGGTGAGTGCGACAAGCTCGCCCATGCAGAAGGCAAAGTAGGCACAATTGAAGTAAGAAGAGAGTTTCTTGGAGTCTTTCTTTTGGAATTGATCGGCTCCGTGAGAGATTATGTTTGGCTTTAGACACCCACTTCCTAAAGCCACCAGGTAAAGTGCCACATAAAATATACTAGCCTTGTAACCCTTTGCTTCCACGCACCCTCCTCCGACCATGTTGCATTGGGGAGGCCTTAGTTGTGGGAGATGGGCTTGTACAGATAGTAAAATAAAACCCTGCAATATTATTATTGATCCAAAACCAGTGTCTGTTAACTTAGGATATATGCAACATAAATTAATAAGCCAGATTTTTTTTTTATTTATTATCATCAATATTTTTTAATTTTTTTTTAATTAGAGAGAGAGAGAGATACTGTAAGTTCCACAAAGCCAAAGATCAACATGGTCCAGAAGCTCCCAAGATAAGAATCAGAGAGGAAGCCACCAAGGAGGGAGAGGAGAAAGACAGTTCCGATGAAGTTTGTTACTACGTTTGCCGACTTTGACAAAGGAAAGTGCATATCATTGAAGACATAGGTTATTAGATTGTTTCCCACTGCAGCAATTGCCATCATCTCAAATGCTTGAAGTCCTGAAAAAATAAACAATAAATGAGCACCCTTCACTATCTATAAAACACAATTTCAAGTCAAATTAATTATTTCCGTCATCAAATTATTGATACAATAGATTATCGACCCACTTCACTAATATAACTATTTATAGATAGTGCTTCCAAAATAGTGAAAAGAAGGGTGAAAAATTATCTGATTAAATAAATCCTGTAGACTGTTGTAGAGTTAAACTACCAACCAAAATAACTGCTGAAACGTCCAACAGGTGTAGTAGAGAGACCAGGGATTAAAAAGAGTGCTCTAAACATGAAAGCATGAGCCATATATACAGTATGTTCCAACCAATTTCAATAACCAAAAGTAACAAAGTTGAGTTGGATGCCATGCAAGGTCATACCTATATGCAACATATAATATATTACATGCACATGAGTGAGACCAAGAAACACACAAGGACAGAGAGACTCACAAACAGAGACAGAGACATAGACAGAGAAAGAGAAAAGAGAAAGAGAGAGAGACCGAGAACAAAAGCAGCAGCAGTCATCCCACCATGGCTGTTAGGTTTGCAAGGTCTGCCTCTCCAATCAACGGAGATCTCCTCTTCCTCCTCCTCCTCCTTCTCCTCCAGTACTCGTACACAACCAGACACAGTTTCTCCCTCAAGTTTCTTTCCTGTCCCTACCCTATCCATCATCTTCTTCTGTTTTTATCAAAAGAAATAGTATTTGCTTGCTGTTTTCTTGACAGGTTCAAAAGACACTTAATTATACACTATATGTATATATATGGAAAACCAAAAGCTTTGTCTGAAGACAAGATCTTCCCAAAGGCTTCTTTGTTGATTCTGAGATAAAGGTCACAAGTGGATTTGCCTCATATTTATAATGTCAGTCCCTCATTTACTTGCCATCGTCAGCCCATCTTTCCATCCTTGGCGAGTCCACTCTTCTTCTTCTTCTTCTTCTGCACTAGTGAGTGGCCTGGCTGGCCCACAAAAGCACAAAATTCAGCTCCATCAGTATTCATTCGGGCCCCTCCACCCCACAACCTCATCCACAGTCACTCACAATATATTCTTATGCTATATGCCCATGGACATGGACATGGACATGGACACAGACATGGACATGGCGATGGCAGAAAGAAAACAAAAAAGGAGTGAGTTTTCCAACTTTCCTCTATATATTGATAATCATCATCATCATCCCACTTGATATATAGCTGGGTGATTCGGGGTACCATGGACCGTACTTGTTCCCCAACAACAGCCATTCATGTGTTCACATTTAGGATCATTCTGGTTGGTGTGCCTTGCCATCTCTCAAGTCAAGTGGGACATCAAGTCAGAGGGAGAATGGAGATTGGAAAGATATAAATATATATATAATCCGGCTTCCACTACTTATTTGCTTGCTGTTTCCTGTACCATTTCATTATGAACTACAAGAATTTGCTCACTGCTTTGTTGCAATTTGCAAATTTCAATTGCACTCACTGTGAATCCCACAAAAACTCTGTATGTATTATGCCATGATGGCTGCTCATTTGTATTCTTTACTTTTATCGCCAAAAAAGACAAAAAAAATTCAGCATCAGTGGCTATATATATATATGGCATAGGTGCATCTACATACATGGCATATGCACCAAGGGTTTGGCCTGGTCGTCAAGGCTTGGGGTGTGTTCCCTCCATAGTCTCACTAAGTTCAAATCCTAAACAATTTGTTGGGACCGGTCCATACGGGGTTTTGTCTCAGCTTTAATTGAGTCCTGCTAGTGGACGGTAGGATTGACCTCTCAAATTAGTCGATCTATTAGGCCGGATATGAGTTATCGAAAAAAAAATAAAAAAAATAGAGGTGCATCTACATACACTATGTGGAAGATTCGGAATCAAAATATTTTAATCCAAGTATTACAGCTTATATATATATACACACTACCTCTACTCCTAACACCTCTACTCCTAACAACAGAATTACTACTAACATTTGGTTTGTTTGGCTTGCAGACTTCCATATCCTGATACTGGAATTGTTCCTGATCCTTCATCTGCTTGTTCTTGATTATTTTCTCTAACATCCCCCCTCTTCAGTTCCATCCTTCATCTAACATTTGGTTTGTGTTTCAAAAAAAAAAAAAAAATACAAATTTATTTGAAAAATAGAAACTAGTTTGATTAAAATAAATATAAAAAATATAATTTTAAATTTTTAAAAATTATTTCTGACCTCCCATAAGCTAAAATTACTTAAAAATGATAAATATTTTATTTCTTTCTTTCACCAAATTAATTTTTAACTTTTTTAAAAAAAAAATTGGAAATCAAACCAAACATGACATGTTTTGTCTTGTAAGGTTTTTGATGGTCTACGACTACTAGCCAGGCATTATTCTATTTTGGTTTGGGGTGGGATAGGGTCATTACAAAGAACCACCAACCATATATTTTTGTTGCAAAATGGTTTTAGTGACCAAAAACACATTTTCTGCGAATAAATTTTTAGTCGGCAAAAGTGTATTTTTTTGGTAGTGCTTTCGATCAGACTGTAGACATCTTCACCAATAGCACTGAGTAAGGAATCCGAAAAAGCCACAAGCCAAACTGGTCCAGTTCAATCTGATAGGTTAGGTTTGGTTTTTCTAATCTGTGGTTCGGTTCTGATTCGGAAAATTGGAGAATCGGTATCTGTGAATCAATTTTGGATTTAAGTCCACAGTTCTAGATTGGAACCAAACCAGATTGTATATAACTTAAGCCATATACCTACCATACACCCCGATGCATACAATCCTACCCTCTTATATATAAAACCAAACCCAAATTCATATCGTTTCAGTTTTCTCTTCTCTTTTCTATGCCGCTAGAACTAATTTTTTTAAAAAACAATTATTTAGCATAATTTTAGTTTTGTAATTGTTGTTGGCACGACAATATTTATTTGATAGTAGTTTTATGCTTATTACATGTTGAACAATATGTTTATTTACTAGATATTATGTTTGTTTAAGTTAATAGTAGAACAATATGTTTATATTTTGAAAAATCATGAGGAAATTAATATTAAACAATGTTTGCTTAATAAAAGTTTGTTTGGTGAATCTTATATAATTTTTCTTGTGAACATATATGTGAAACTCTGATTTCAAACCTAATCGAACCGTATTTAAATGATTTGGTTCAGATTGATTCTATAATTTAAATAGATTAGTTGGTCGTTTCCATGATTTACTTTCTAAACTTACGAGTGCATCTGTTGAACCAATTTGAATTTGAAGAGAAATATTAGAATATCTTAGAATATATTTGTGAAGGGGTAAAACGTTGACCCAAAATCCAAAGGTAAAAATATGGGAGATTTGGTCAAAATCCTCTCATAATAAAATTTTAATACATTAAGGAGAATCACAAAAAAGTTTTCCTTGAAAAGTCCAACAAATATTACTATTATCAAAATATTAAACTTTTAAAACAATATAACTTTTGATGTAGATGTCGGTTTTTAATAAAATTAATATATTTAGAATTCTCTCATCAAGATCTATCAAAATAAGATCCATGTTGACTATGAAATTCTTTTTTTTTAATTTTTTTTATTATTGTTGAAATTGATGTAAACAGTAATAGTAACATGTTACTCTGTTTAACAATTACTCTATTTGACAGTAACATGTTACTCTGACAATATTATCCAAGAATATATATATATATATATATTACTTTGTTCTTACTCAATTATGTGTTTTTTCCTTAGGGGGTTTATGAAGAAAAATAAATTGGGTTGTCCTTTTCACCAAACAAGGGTCTAATGGAGGGGTTTTGACTAAATTTTTCTAAAAATATTGGCCCAAAGCCCAAGTCCAACCAAGCAGCCCGAATCAAGAGAAAAGCCCAAATCATCGATAGGTCTGTCAGATGAGGGGACAGTGTCACGTGACCAAAGCTTGAGTAAAATCACCTTTTGGAAGGCGATCTGTAAAATGCAGGGATGCCCTTAGATTTATTCATAATCAACGGCAAGGATCACCATCTTCAGAGATAGGAGCATAGGCCCAACCAACTCAAACGACACAACCATCCGATGAACCTAATCAGACAGATGGAGCAATCGGCAAGTTGGCCACTAACGCCTGACATAATCTAAGCTACACACAACAAGATAATCCAACAACAAAGAATCAAAGCAACCTGGCCATTTGCTTGACCTAAGTCTGGCAGTAACCAGAGTCCTTAGATGAAGATGTCAATCCAACGATCGAGGCCAAGACAATAACACTATAAAAGGAAGAATAAGGAAAAGCGAGAGAGGTAATAAAGAGGAAAAATAAAATCTTTCTTCCTAACCAAATATTATATTTTTGACTTGATCGTTGGAGGGTCCTCCTGACTGTCCCTGGTCGGGAGTGATCGCTGACGGATTGGTTTCTCTTTGCAAAGTAAAGGAATGAGCATCTCATCTTGTTTTCCTTGGGAAGAATCTTTCTACCTCCCACAATTGGCATCGTCTGTGGGAAGGACGAAGATGAGTATCCATTATTCTCTAGAAGAGATACCAAGCGATCATCAAAATGCACTGATCGGGAACATGGCCAGTTTAAACTTCGGCCATGATTCTGAGGTAGCACGCGAAGACTCAGGAAAGATAATTCCCCCTGCCAGATGATGACCACCAATGGACTCCACTCATAGATTGGTTGGTGGCACAAGTTGAGGCCTTCAAAGAAGAACTACGCTTGGCCCAAAGTAAACTTGACGCCTGAGTAAAGACTGCTGATAATAGCATGAAGACCAGTCCTCATGGAATTGCCAGCCAAACAACCAACAACCACCCTGATCAGACGTAGAGAAAATGCCAAGTCACTAGAAGAGAGGACTCACGGGATTATCAGAAGAATGACTTGCGGAGCTGACTTGATGTTTGAATGGGGGACAATCCTAAACCTGTTCGAAGAAAGCTCTTCACATAAGAACTAGTTTTGCCATTCTTTTGAGTGATAGAACGCGCAGATCCACCGAAGAGGTTTACCCTACCGAAATTCAACCTATACGATGGTAAAGGGGATCCGACTAGCCACATTCAATATTATACTCAAGTTATGACATTATGGAGCAATAATGGTCTAATCATGTGTTGAATGTTCTCATCGAGCTTAGGAGAAATGGAACTTCGATAGTACTATAAACTGGAAGCCCGATTCATCAATGATTGAAAATAGTTGCAATGGAGTTCATCTCATGCTTTATCACCAACAGCCATCTATCGAAAGAAGTGGATGTACTCTTTACAATGAAAAAAGACGACATAGAGAGCCTACGAGGGTATGGCAGTAGGTATTGGACGACTTATAATGAGATTGATAGCACAACGAACAATTAGTAGTTGCCTCATTTAAGTTGGGATTGTAACCTACAAGTAAGCTCTGACAGTCCTTAACAAAAAAGCCACCTATTGACGTGGGTAGTCTAATGAGGCAAGTGTAATAACACTACAAGATCAAAGACAACCTACGAAGGACCGAAGAGCCAAAACTTGCTCGGCTCCCGTCAAGGCTTCTAAGAAAGGACAAGAAGAAGCCTTCTGACATCAAAAGAAAGGAATCAAACGCCATTGCCGAATAACCAAAGCCAAGAAAAGAGGCTTTTCAAGCAATCGTCACCATTTTCACTAAGCCAATTTACCGTATGATGGCAAAGATCCAGATTGAGCCTTACTTCTCTTGGCCTTCAAAGATGAATGGGGATCCATCTTTTTGAAATTGTAGGTTACGATGTTCCTACCATAAGGATTATGAATATCTTATAGAAGATTGCAAAGCATTGAAGCAATTTCTGGAAGAATTGGCACAAAAGGGGCATTTATGATCTTATATCGACCATTTCCTTGATTGAAAAGAGAAAGGAAAGGACAGAGGTGGTGATGCACAACCAATGGCAATTATCAACATGATATATTTAGTCCCCCTGAAAAGGCAGACAAGCCAAATGAAGGAAGAAATCAGGAAGTCGACACATCATGGAGAAGTGATGGCTTTATC